AGAGAGAGAGAGCGAGCGAACGAGCGTTTCTCATGCCCTGCGCCCGATAAGACGTCAGGGGAGCAACCCGGCCGCGCTCCGAGTGGAGAGAAGGTGTACCCCCCTGTAGCGCGATACCCAGCACTTTTACAAGAGTGCAGCACTTTGCGTCTTCCTGCACCTCGCTCCTGACAACTCGGCAGGAACGCAGCACGGGGGCACCGGCGCCTGGGGGCGAGAGAGGGAGCTTGACAGCCGCTACAACACCGAGATCGGCGAACCTACACCTTGCGAACACCGTGGGCCTCTTTCGCCGCACCCACCAGGCTGGGCGAGGGATTACTTGACCCGGAAGATCGTGACTTGGGCAGCGACGCCGAGAATAAGAAGTTTGCACTATGTCTGGAGGGGGGGACCGCCCTCACCAAGGAATGGCAGTGGACCCCACTTCGCCCGGGGGTTTCTCGGCGGCCCTTACCTCAGCCTCGGAAGGGCCAAGCTTGCTCGACATGAGCCCTCCCAAACGGGGGCGCACGGACCAACCGCAGCTCACGCTGGACGCGATCAGAGACCTCTTTAGGGGAGAACCCCAAAATGCCGTGGGACAAGTCAACGAGCGGGTGGGCACCTTTGAGCAGAATGTCACCCACCAGTTTGTAGAGACCTTCCAGCGCAGACGTGGAGACGGAGTACGCAACGGGCCAAGTGTGGTTCAAGTCGAAGAAGGTGGCATCAGCCACAAACCACATGGCACCCCAAGGGACCACCCAGACGGGGTGCGAAGGGTGGATAGACCTGCAGACCATCGCCAACAAGCTCCACCGCAGCCTGGAGGCGGTCCAAACATCGTGGCAGCCCCTAGGGGCTGTGCTCAGGTGATTCCAGCAGGAGGCCCAGGACCTGGACACACAGTTTCACGCTAAACCGATGCATGTTTCAGAATTAGCTCATTTGACATGTGCGTGGAACCTGGGAGGAATGACACCACCTAAGGTGCTGACCTTTCTCGACAGTTTCAGGGGACACGGGCAACTGAGCCGTGTTGTCCTTGTCCACATCCAGGAAATCATCGTGGAAGCGGGCAGGTTTTCGACGACAACGGCAGCTGGACACTTCTCGCGGGGACAACCATCTGGGCTAGACTGGTGGCGGTGGCGGATGCACTGGAGAGCCTCGTAGCGGGGAACTAGGCTCCACCCAGAGGCGACGAGGCTGCCGATAGTACCCCAGACCTTCCGGTCTGCTGTTAGGAGCTCTTGGGTCGTAGGTCCCCTTAGGCTGGAATCTGCGAGGTCCGGTAGGGCAAGATCTAGGACCCTCTTATCAAAGGCCTTGAGGTTATTAAGATGGGCTGCACCACATAGGGCTCAGGCATTACGGTAGACCGTCTGTATCCTGGACAGCCAACTGGCTGCGAGGCGGAGATACTGGCATTTCTGGCGTATCGTCGTAGAGTGCAGAGGCCAGCAGCTGCGTTTCGGTGCGCATGGGCTTCGAAGACTTGGCTTCCATAATCTCCGTATATTGCTTAGAACTGAGGCGGAATTGCCAAGGGATCCAACGGATCTTTTCCCCCGGCTTTAGGCTGTGCTGGACGAGGCTGAGAAGTCGAATGCTAGGCATGGTATCCTCATCCAACAACTCCCCAGGGTAGTTAACCTTAAAATCGTTAACTGCTGCTTCTGGGCTTTTTTTGGGAGGCAAGTTCTCTACCCAGGAGGCTGGGGAGGCTTGCGGCATCAGAGCTGACTGCAGGCTGGGCGCAGGCTGAGGTGCCGGCAGGTCAAGAGAGTGTTGGTTCTGATGACGTGCGACCCGCAGTGCCCTGCGTATCTTGGCAGCATGAACTCCATGAAGGGGTCTGACGACCCCATTTCACCCATGTCTGAGTCTGATAGGGGCACCTCGTGGACTCCATAGTCCTTTAAGAACTTGGAGAGCTCGGACGAGGCGTCGGAACATGTCATGGCTGGTGTCACGTGTGATTAAGACCCTAGCTACGAGAAAACTGAAAACGGCTGCGGCAGGAAGCCATGGGCTGACGTGGGCAATAACCCCGCTGCGCGGGAAGGCAATTGATTTTTCCTTTCAAGGCATAGCGTCTAGCAGGCGGGAGCAACCCCTGCGCCTGCACAAGAATTGAGGCGAGGCTTCGGCGGCGTAAACGATGCAGAGGTCTTGGACGCTCCGCATGCCGCCTTGTACTCTCCGGCTTTGCATGCATGTATGGACCCCCAGGGCCCCAGGGACCATTCTGAAAAAGGCTAAATGTAATCTGTTGGGCACACTCGCGGGGTGCGAAGCAAATTGCTCCACTAATAGGGCTTCGAGGTCTGCCGGTATGTCCAGCGGTATGGTAGGCTTAACATCATCTGGAGCGTCTTCTTCAACAGGCTCCGTAGATTCGGAGGCGGGAGTGGGCTGAGGTGTAGGCGCAAGCTCGAGCTGAGCTTCACGGTCGTGCACGAACCGCGACACCCCCCCAGACTCCCCTCCAGACCATTGAGGGGGTGCGCCATTTTGCCTAGTATGGTCTTGCCTGAGACGTACAAAGTCAGCCCAGATTATAGCCGCGCCTATTACTTGGACAATTCCAACCGCCTACGTTGCCTACTTCCGTGTAAGAAATTTGCCGATCACCCCAGAAGCCCATTTGAATGGTTTGCCAGCCTACCAGACGCGGTAGCCTTGGACTAGCCTAGTTTGCCTCTGGCCCAGCCTTACTACAGCCTACTTGTGCCCTGCCACCCTTGAGGAGGGTACTACTAGGCCAAGAGTCCAAATAAGCCTACAAACTTTTCTCTTGGGAAGAGGCAAACCGACGCAGGGCCGGCTCGGTACAGCGCTG